GAACCACCATTTAGAGATTGGTCGTTTGACAAATGTTTGGCGATACGTGTTTGTGAGGGACTGCGACCGTCGATGCCCGATTTTGCGCCAGAGGAATACAAGAAACTTGCCGAGCGGTGTTGTGATGCTGATCCTTATAAGCGTCCTGATGCATATACACTTCGCTGGGATATTTACAATCTTGTTAAAAAGGTGGAGGATAAATCTGGTGACAATGTGTGGAATGCCGTTTATCATAATAATGTAAAGCCGCTATCGCGTCTCGAGAAAGAGAGTAAATACTCTAGTAAACTCTTACCTACAGGAGATTTGCCTATACCAAGAAATAGCTATAATTTGGATTCAGCTGCAGGTATGTTATGCATTGGTACAATAAAGTCAATTTACAATATTACAACATTAACACTTCCATTTCTTATAATTTAGCAACTCAACCTCTTTTTGAATAAACTCGTAATTTACGATTTGTTGCTGTATCATTATATATTTAGTAGACGAGCACAAGGTGGTAATATAAAATTTATTCAATGAAAAAAATTAATATTATTTCGGTAGTATCGAATATTATTCGGTAATTTCAAATTTTATTTCAATTGATATTAAATTCTGTTTTGGTAAATATACGGTTTAAATATTTCACGCAAAGCGTGCACTTTGAGCAATTTATATCGATTTATTTTTAGTGTTAGCTAATAATATGGATAAGAAACATAATATTGATGAGAAATTACGTCATGCTGCAAAAATTATATCCAACCTAAATACTTGCAATAAATCAGTACGAGCTAAACAATTGATGCAAGAGCGGGATTTTGAACGGGAAAGAGGAAAGTGGAATCAAGAAAGAAATAAGTGAAGCCAGAAATTAGGAGGAGTTAGTAACGAAATTCAGAATTACGCATGCATGATTTGGGAACTGATTGATGAAACTAGGCGTTTACAGAATAAAATTACTCACAAAGATATTTCGCTTGCAAAATCAAAGTCTGAGGTTATCACAAAATCGAAATCACTTCAATCGATGATCAAGATACGTGGGTGAATCCAAAATTTTTTGCAGTTTGGCTTTATTTGAAATACTACATAATAAATTTAAATTAATTATGATAAACCTTTAAAATAATCTCCTTCAATATCTACGCCAACTGTAAAAAACAATTGCCTGAACGGCTCGAGATAGATTTACAATACTATTGTATTTTTTTTCCTGCAAGTGCTTTCTTAATTTTTGGAAATAAAGAAAAAGTCGTATGGAGCCAAGTCTTGGTTATATGGCGGATGAGGCAACGCAGCATTGTCGTGATGCAGCAACCTATTTGGCAGTGCCTTTACATAGCTCCAATTCTTTATGCAAAATGGTATAGGTACTGCCAAATAAAATCACCGTTTGATTGGCTAATTTTTCTATTTTTTTGTGAGGGTCTTCACTGAGAATATTACAACATTCTTTTGCGTAACTACCTCGCGAGGCCTTCCAGATCAAGGTTTATTTTTTAAGCAGCCTCTTCCATCATTGAAACTTTTAACTCGGTGTTGGACTGTGCGCAATGATGGCGCTATATGTCCACAAACTTTGGCTAATTTTTCATAATTGTGCCAACGTCTGTATCAATTTGCCATTCGACGAATATGTAGAAGCGATATTGTTTACGTGAAAATTGAGCCATTGGTTTTAACGAGTAGGGATATCTCGACAACTACTGATTCAAAACAATCAAATTTGAAGACCATAACTTTAGTTTTATTTGGTTAGTGTCAATTTTTCTCAGAATATTGACCTGTAAAATGCAGGGTGTGCGAAAAAGCTTTTTGATCCCACCCACCCAGAAAGATGTATTCTCTACTCATGAAGAGACGGTAAAAAAAGAATCCGAGATCCAGTCTCTTAAGTCTAAAATAGCCGAGTTGATCTCAAAAGTTAGTGAGCTGGAGTAAACCTTTCAGAGAGCTCAGTCAATTTCTAGTACGTAAAAAAGGTATGGAAGAGATTAAAAAATCGATACTATCTGCTTTGCAGAGCGCTCCGCGCCTGTACCGGCTCATGATGATGTAGTCAACTCTACCTGAATTCCCAAAAGCCGATACTCCCACGCCGGCTCATAATGTAGTTAGCTCTGTACCCAAGTCTTTAAAGGCCGATATTAAGTTAATGGAGAACAATATATTACCCGATATATCCGGTACGCATACAAGCTCGGATGTGCCATTGAGTATGCCCATGAGTATGCCCAAGAGTGTGACTCCAATAGAAGGATTGGGAGCGATTCCTGTTGTGGCAAGTGGTTTAATGTCACCATTTATCAGCATATGTATTACTTACCTTATTACCGTATACTACCGTGAATAAGCACCCATCGTGAATAAGCACCCCTTATAAGAAATGGCATCGTATCGTGAATAAGCACCCCCAAGATTACCTAGATTAACTGCATGACGTACCCCCACCCATAGTTAATTACGTAACTATACAAGCCATTTTGCGAACACAAATAACAGTACGCTTACTGTTGTAAGCTACCCCTTAACGCTGTTGTGGATTATACTTTACGTAATGATTTGCAGATCATTTTAATAATGCCGATAAGAGTTGCCGATCCTATCGTGAATAAGCACCCCTCACTATGATAAGGGTGGGTGCTTATTCACGGTAGTATACGGTAATTATTGCCGTTATGTGGTTTGTTATATTAAAACCTGTATGGGAAAACCGAAAAAATAAATATTAGTGGGGCAACAAAGTTTCGAGGCATTGCTCCACAAATATAAATTTATTGCGTAATTGGGATAGCTTTTTTTATTTCATGAAAGGCACTACTGAGACAATAATTTACCTACTTGCAAAATGCGGTGGTACCACCGCGCTCCGTGAGTGAGTTAATTGCTTATTTCATGTATTTAGAAAATCGTTGAGCGCTAACTGATCAGCTTCTGATATACCTTTTTTCGCATGGTCTCTGGTGCGCTAATTTTTTCGGGAACGGATATATGCTCTTTATTATTATATCGCATATGATATGATAATGTATGAAAAATATATCATATTTTTTAGCGGCTTCGCCGTGCGCTCTACGCAATAGCAGAATGAGTGAATTAAGTGTTTTGCAAAACCGGAGCGTATACTTTTTTCCGTCTCGGCGTGTAGCAACGCCATATATATAATTATTATCGAACATCAATCGACCAGCTTCTGATATACTAGGTAAGGTAGGTTACTCGGTTATTATTTCATAGTTTGGTGGGCTCTAGAATATAAAGTAGGATGCAAACGTATTAATTTAGGACAAAAACGAGTAAACGCTTTGAAATTTCTCTGCGTATAGTGTGTCACAAACCCTGATTACCTGTAAAGTTTCAACTTGATCAGATGTCTCCAGAAAAGGTTTCCAAATATCCAATATTGTCTCTAAAACATATAAAAGCAAGCATGTTGCTTATTCGAACATGAACTTTAAAAAATTGTATCTCCATATTAATATGTATCTAATCAATTTGCATATTTTTTTTTGTTTTGTTTGTCAGATTTACTTTTACGTGTCCCTTATGATGTATGGTCAAATTAAAAGTAAATCTTTATTTATTTCTACGACTAAATGCAAAGGATAACATCAGTATTACTGTGTCTCACAATAATTTGCATTCTGTAGTAGCAACTACACAGTAAATTCGTTCAAAATGCACATAAATGTATTCTAATAGTGCAAAAAATTAAATAAAAAAATCATAACGAAATTTGGATAGAAGAGTATCGAAATATAAATTTATGAGTTTTTATGGTTGAAATCGCACACACGGGTATAATAAATCTCGTGATCAAATATTCTATGTTTGAAAATCTTTCATGAAACATCTGATCGAGCTGAAAATTTATGGGTAATCAGGGTTTGTGATATGCTACACGCAGGAATTTTCAAAGCATTTAATCATTTCTGTCCTGAATTAGAGGTGGTGGAATACTTTTACATCCTACTGTAAGCATCATAGGCAAGTGCCGCATTATTCCATGACTTATTATGAATGCATCCAAAGATTTGTTGCCAGTCGTCCAATCAGGTGGTCTTGGCAATAAACTTGTACATGCCATACATACTCCATCCTCAACTTTAATTAGACATACTTTTGTTCGCTTGCGTCGTATGTAAATTCGATGGTAAAAACATCTGGATGTTCATTACATAACTAGCGGAAACGGTACGTTATATGAAGTCACTATTGTCCAGACAATTTAATGCATAATTAATAATTGAATAGCTTACCTTATCATAACATGAACTATCGTCAGTTATTTCAAGTGGGATCAATTTAACATCTGAATAAGTTGGTAGACTACGCAATGATTTATGTCCCCAATCTTCAATACTAATACAATCGAATTAAATCCATTCGAGATAGCGACTCTCAAGCCATTTAGAATATCTTCTGAATTGGTTAACGTCATTGTTGTGCCTGTGTGTTGGGAGTGAGTATATTCTGGCAATCTCGTTCCAATCTCGCTCACAAGCGTTGATGTGCATTCTTCGCTACGTCCAAGTAATATTAACATCACTTTCACCCTCCAATAATACGGTCTAATCTGACAAATAACGTAATAGACATTGTCCGATGGACTTGGCGTTATGTCGGTAATCTTTGAATAGGGTATCCATACAAGTTCAGGCTTAGTTTCATAGGAGAATTTAATCAGGTCGTCAATTGCTTGATTTGAATATCATTGACCAAGACATAGGGGTTTGACTGTCACGTCACGCAACTATTTCGGCGCTTATTGTGGTACATTGTCGTAGCACATTTTTGCCTTTGATAGAATAATTTGTCGCAGGTTAGCGGCCATTACTATATAGTTGAGCAATTACGTGCGCGCTTCATGTAATAAAGGCCAACCCGAAGGACATTGAGGAAAAAGAGTCTGTTGTTTGGTTCCTTTCCAGTATGAAACGAAACGTCTGTGTGTCTTCCACTCGAAGACGTCGTTTATTTTGAGATGGTAACTTGGAAAAATGCTAATTATAATCGTATTGTATGGGATCCTAAGACCGCCGCATTCGTATTTTTGATAAGCACCAAATTTAATCCCGTTTTATCGTTATCGATATGCATGAATCACCAGATGTGCGCTTGAATAAATTATTCTTTCGACTCTGAAGCACTTGTTACTATTAGCAACAATAATTGTTATATGCTATATGTCTACATTATCACAAAAAACTATAATTTTGTTGCGCAAAAGCACCGGATTTGTACTACTGGATAGTTTGCAAAAAAAAAAAAGGAACTGTTATGTATAAGTGTTACGTACATTTAACCGTTAGCGGTCTACGTTGGTGACACTGTTGTTTTCGCAAATGGAGTACCCAGTTGCAACAGCGAGTGATACTACTGCAGTCTGGAATATTGACATTGTCTACTGTCTTATGATTTAGTGTCTTAAACGTACTAAATAATTGGTTAGCTTTTATGTATATGGCAATTTTTGGTAACGTTCTTGATCAGATTGCAATATTCCTTATATGACGCAAGCTTTTCTACAGTTTACTGACTTTTAAAATATTAACAAGGCCCATGTTATTTAAAAGTACCACTATAGCAATAAAAAATTATGGGCAAACCACGAAGAAGTCTATAAATTTTAGTTACGCAAATACGAGTGTTTTCATAAAAGCTATATTAATATACGTTTATCGCTATGGTATTAGAAAACTGGGGGGAATGGCAATACCGCAATATGACACTACAGGCTGTGACATTATCTTCTCAAAAATATTATATGTTTATTATGTATGTAGTCTTTACGGCCAGAACAAAAAATATATAAATTATTATGTAAAAAACTACCGTATTTTACCGACACGAGTACCCCGGGTATTCCCCTTGTTTGTTTTAGTACCCGGGGTACTCGTGTGTGTGGGGAAGTACATCATACGGATGGAGGGTACATATCTCGATTCGTTTTTTTTAAACTCCTACTGGTTGATAAATCAATTGTATATTATAATTAAACGCGCATTATTAGATACTACTAATACTGTATAGTATACAAAGAACTTTGAAATTAAAATTCAATTGCGATTTAGATTATTTATCTACTCATCATAAGTCTCATGTCTTGGTTTAGTATATGATGAATGGATGGCTAATATTATTCATCAATTAACACCTGCTGGGCGTATACGAAAACCATCCTATGGTACTCTTGCTCAATGGGTAAGAGATTCATGGAAAAAAGATGATATTTATTTGATTGTAAAAGCGTTTAAGTGTTGTGGGGTTTCAGTCAAATGGATGGGACTGAGGATGATGCGTGTTTGTTTGAGTTGTTAGATGAGAATAAAAATGATGGAAATTCTAAAGTAATGAATTTTGCTAGTATTGACGGTGACGGTGAAGAATATGAAGAAGTCAGAGACAGTAATGTCTGGGAATAATAATAATCATATTTTAATATCGATATTAATAAATTTTACCGAACAAATTTTGTGTTATCTCTGATCTTAAATTTATTGGAGGGTACAAATTACGGGTGTATATATGCCGGGGGAAAATTTGGCCTTCAAAATTGCCGCAGGGTACAGCTCACGGGGGATACTCGCGTCGGTGAAATACGGTACTTACTGGAATACTCGCAGGGTTTAGAGAAAAAAGTATTTGTATGATAACCAAAGCTTTCAGTGATAGAGCACCACTCATTGTAAGAAGACGGGTTTTAAAATATTTGTCGAATTAACACAAACTATCAGTGGTTTGTCATATACACTACCCTACAATAAATTTCCGGATTTCTTATCAAACCAGGAATGTAGTGTATACCAGGCCTGTTCAATTTTGTGGTCCGTTCCGTTCGATGGCAAAATTGTATCAACCAATCAAAAAGCAGTGAGAATTGAGGACAAATTTCGCGTTCCCCGTTGTTGTTTTTCTTTTCACTCCAAGATTTCAAGTGTTATTCCTTACAAAAACATATATATTTCTAAAAGCTATTAGAACCCTTTTGCGCAACACGCCTTTTATTTTTTTAATAAAACGTGTGTGAGATGAGGATGGGAGAACTGAGAATTTGTTGTTCCCATCATGTGATTTGTAATCCGCCAATCAGGGATCGGCACAAATTGGAACGGAACAGGCCTACTACAGTCAACTATAACGACCGCCTCGGGCTGGACAAAATCGGTCGTTATATGCGGTAGTACGAATATATTATATAGTGTCATTATTGTAATAAACAGGCGGACTTAAATAAAATTTTCAAATATCACTATTAGTGTACTGTTAACTTTCCATTAGCATAATTTTGAATTATTTTCCTCTCTCCAATCGTTATTTGAGAGAAAAGGCATTTCCTTTTTTCCGTTAGCTGATTTCTTGTCCGTTTCGTTGTGAAGAATGTTGGAGAATATACGAGAGAAAATTTTACCCATATATAAAAAGTATTATCGATTGTACTACCGACACTGTAAAAAGAGTTTATAGTATACGGTGATTTATTTATTAATTGACCAGTCGGTCGGACTTTTGTATAAAAAAATACTAAGACTGGTCGGTATAAACAGCTGGTGATTGAAAGTGGCAAAGCACATGTAGTCGTTATAAAGAGAGTTGACTGTATGTAAATTGTCAATATTTTTGTAAAGTTCGATAAGTGGCCTGCCGCTGGCTTTTTGTAAGATTCACTCATGCTTCCCTTTTCCTTGTTCCCAGATTGTGTTAAATGAGCGAGTTAATATCGCACTCACTTCTATTATCTGCTAGGGTAACCCGTAATATTGTTATTATTATGCAAAACTCCCCAGTCCAAGACAAAACGCGGGAGGATTGGAGTAAACAAGACACTGAGAACAAAAGATATCACTATACGCGCGCGCAAACCAGAAGAAGCCAAAAA